ATATTGTTATTTCCACTGAGCTTTATGTCTTGTGTTTATACTTTGCTGTTTTAAGTAACAATTGCTTTGTCAATCTTTCATTTTTATAGCACTTATCATCCCAGAAAGGGAGCATTTATAGACTATGCAGTATTATCTTCATTATACAAAGTAAATGGGATTGAAACTATCTTGGACAATCAACAACTTGATTAATAAGAAGTACCTTAATATTTATAGAGTCGTACCCTTTGTGAAAGACTACTGAAAAGACCCAAAAGGTCTTCATTGCGCACCCCCCACACACACATTCCATTTTGCTTATAGAAAGCATCCTTTAGAATCAGGGGCCCAAAAGAAAACAGGAAATAGAGCTCATAAACCAATAGCAAATACACATTCATCCCATGAAGGTGTCACATTCAAGGGTGGATTTTCAGTTGTGTATACACTGATAGGGTCATATTTGGCAGGTGACCGACACAAAGCACACACCACTAAATAAAAGATGGTTAATGCATTTGAGATTAGAAACAAATTTAAATGATTTAGACTGTATGAGAAAGTAATTCTAGTTTCTGAATGGAAGGTATAGAGATCTTCATATACAATGTAATTATTTGCAAAATAGTAGCCTTGCTTTCATAGTTTAATTGGAAGAAAATGACGGTGAGAGTATATTAAGCTTATGATTTCTTCATATTTCCATTTAATCATGACGCTTTGCTGTGAATTCGTGACACTTTGCTATGGAAAACGAACGTGTTCTGCCTATCTTCCAAAGCAATAAAATATCTCTGTAATTAATAGGCGGTCTGTTGTATTAGTCTGATTAAGAATTCATCAGAAGCGAAGCTAGAAGCAGGTTTTTTTTCCTTTCTAAATGAATGAATCTCTACACAAAGATACAAATTCTCAAAATATGGATGAAACGCGGTAAGCTTCCCTGCTTCCTGCCATCCACCCAAGGTCCAGTGGGGAACAAAGCACATGGTACCTAACCGAAGGGCAAAGCTAAGGGTTATAATTTCTCATTTCTTCTGGAAGGGTGTGGTTCATGATGAGAGCAGAGAATGAAGATCAATCTGATATTCTGTGGGTTTTCAAAGATTTCAGATCTTTCCTTACCCCTTAGGAAGAGGAACAGAATGTCTTGTCAGGAATATCAGCTAGGGCAACAGTGACTGCTTGCAATATTGCTCAAGAACAGTCATTCAGTCACTCAACAAACGTGTTTGTCTTCTCTATACTTGGCACTGTGTCAGATGCATGGGACACAGAAGATTCCAGTCCCGACCTTTAAAAAATCCTTTCCTGGGAATTCCCTGGTGGTCCAGTGGTTAGGATTCAGTGCTCTCACTGCCGGGGTCCAGGTTCAACCCCTGGTGGGGGAACTAAGATCCTGCAAGCTGTGCAGCCAGAAAAAAAAAAAACAAAAAACAAAAAAAACTTTCCTGTTGGTGCAGGACATCACGGTGAAGAGAAAATGCAGGAAGAGAACCCCCAGTGTAGTGCCTGCCATGTTTAGGCACGTAGCTAGATGTGTTATTATTTATCTTGTCATATTCAACAACTTTGAAAATATAGAGAAAACATGTAACTTCCCAAAAATTCTTTCTCTCTCTGTGTTAAAAATTGTTTCAAGTATTGTCTAAATCCTTGGTTTTGGAAATCTGTTTAATTTCACTTCATTATAGTCCTTCTAGTGATTAAAAACTACTACTATTTCAAAATAGGTTTAACAGTACTGACCTCTACATGCTTTAGAATTGAGAAGACAAATGCCAAACTAATGGCTGGATAGACAAAATGTTTTGTGTTTAGTTACTATGAGGAAGGAGTCTTCTCAAGGTTGGCAGTACAGTACCTCAAGTAAGTTACTGTCTGTTTCTGTATCTATCTGTCTATATCTCTATCTCTACATCTATCTATCATCTAACTATGCATCAGACCACGTTATTATTTAGAAAGTGGAATTCAGGAAAAGTTGGTTCATGGTTTAATTTGAATTTGCCTTAACATATCCACGCCTTAGCTCTTCCAGGCTATAGCTGAGAAGTTACCGACTTCCTAATTCCTTCAGGAAGTGGTGTCACTGTCCTTGGCCTAGAATATGAAATTCTCTATGCAGATAGTATTCCAGTAAACATGAAAGAAAGGATAATTTTGGTTTTACACCTGGATGGATGTAATTTATATATGCATTTGGGGGCAATACAAGTTAGTTTATTTGAGGCAAGAAATATGACTATTTAAATTGAAATGTATGTTCTATTTATCATTTTAAATATGCATGTGTAATTTATTAATTCTTCTCCTGAACCAGTGTTTCCCACTGAAGACTATTTCAGTGAAATGGCCCACTGAGGAAAGACTTCTGTGATGGTCGCTTGGAGATTCACAGTGTACATTGACACACTCAAGACTCTGATAAGTCCTGCAGGAGACGCACCCTCTTAACCTGATGTGGCCCAGTGCTCTTCCCACACATATTTTGTCATGGAAACTTGTTTTTTAAGGACACTTATGTTTCCACAAACCCCCTCTAATACAACTTGGAAACTGTGTCGGCGGGGGGCAAAGTGGCAAAGTCCTTAGAGCTGCTTGCCAGGACTGGCTTCTGGCCCATGAAGCCAGCCCAACTGCTTGCTAAGCATCTGTACCCACTACAATCAGTGATTTCTAAGTGTAGCATAAGTATATCCCTTTAGGTTTGTTTAATTTAAATATGTTTTTAATTACCTTGTTGGAATTCCTGGGGCGATCGTATGATCATATCTGAACCTGTCATGCTGTGTTCCCATACACACATATGTGTTCCCATACACACATATGTGTTCATACAAGGTCAGGCTGCCTATCTACTGCTCTGTGTGTACCATATCACTAGATAATGATGTGATTATTGGCTACAGAAATACAAAGTGAAAACATTTTACAGCTACATAGATTTTATAGTTTTGACAGTATGGGAATTGTGAGTGATTTTTCTTCTGTTTAAGTGAAAGCAACTATAAGGCCAAAAAGAAGACACAATAACATGTATTAATTTTCGTAGCTATCTGGTCATTGTGTAATTGTTCCTTTCCTGTATGAAGTTGATGCAGTATGTAACTAAATATGAAATTAGCCCTTCTGTGCTAGGTCAAAGAAGATGGAATGCAAACACAATGAAAACACTTTGCCTCGTGACTTAAACGCACAGACACACAATAAGCACATAATCTTCTTGGCATATATGGAATGACTTTTGAGGCATATCACTGCAGTACCTGTTATTCTGATGTAAAGCTAGTCACTGTTTACACAGCCTGAGTTAACCCATTTGACCTTTTCCTTGAATTGTTCACTGCTCTGCACATCAACAATAAGAATTTTTAAATGGAACCAAAAAAAGAAAATGACTTAAGTTTGTTTTTTTTTTTAATTGAAAGCACCTTTTAGGTACTACATTTCATAAAGCTTCTTTGGTCTAAAGCCTCCCCTTGAAAATTTTTGTGAACAGTTTTTGACCTTTTTCATGTTAATGCAGAGAGCAGGGAGTCTGAATGTCTATTCCTATTTCAGAAAATCTGCATCACTACTAACAGAGAAAAATATTATAATGAGAGGATTCTTCAGAGGAGCTTGGATTCTTTAGGGTTCACCTTACTATCTACTCTGCCTGGAGTAAAATCAGCGTCTCACAGGACCCCACATCTCCATGGCTGACATGTTTTTAGAGATGGCAGTTGCGTCCTTCCCATAGGGAGAGGATGTGAGGCCACCAGTGCTCACCCCAGCCTGGCCTCCTCCGCTCAGCACACGTGCAGCACCATTCTTACTGCGGCTCTCACTCAGTTTTCCTACACTGTTGGGAGGAAATGAGTTGCGTTGCTGGCTGCCTTGTGCAATGAAGTTCCCACGCGGAGTTTCATGTCGCTGTGCATGATGAGCCAGACTCGTGAACATACCCGTCTGTCCACGGTGCTGTGCGGAGACCTAGCAAGGGGAGCCCAGGAAGGCCCTCAGTTCTGGGTAACAAGAAGCTCATGCTGACTTATCAACGGAAGAAGCATGACATCTAGGTCACAGAACAAGGGCACAGATGCATCCTCAAGACCTTGTTTTGACCAAGTGACTTTTTTCTCCAGAAGGACATTTCAGCATTTTCTTTCTCCAGCTGGTTTCACCTTTCACCATTTGTTTATCAGCCTCTTCCTCTCGCCAGAAGTAGGCAGGTTCATGCCCAAGAAGAAATGCTTTGGGGTTCATTCTTGACGCTTTTCAGCTTCCACTGAAATGTCTAGTTTTTAAGTCAATTAAAAGATTATTAGGAAATGACCGTGTGAAGGTGTGAAAAAAGTTAGGGCAAAATTAATTTATGACGGAGTCTAAAATTCCTAAGAGAGATTATTTTTATCCAGTTCATTACTGAGGATAATTCATCACCAACTCTTCAAAAAATCAAAACGTGTTCTATGGTTACTTTGAAGATATATTAACGTGGTTTTATATGACTTCAGAAAGGTATTTTTGAACTCTTTTCTTCCTTATCCAGTTCCATCAACCAACTTTGTTTCTTTGTGCAAATATCTATGCCAAAGCTCTTTGAGAATATCAAGAGGGAAAATAAAAAACTAAACTTACAATCAACAGACGAACTCCAGAAGTGACTTCCTTTCCAAGCGAGCCACACTGGCTGGTAATTCCTCTTAGGGCACTGATGGCATCCACCCCACCCCTCATCTTTTTATCTCTCTTTGGATGATGAGAAAAGTCACCAAATTAGAGCTTAGCATTTAAGCAAAGAAAAAAAAATGTCATCATACGTCGTTTTAGATTTTATAAAAGAGGTGAAATGAGCTCAGACTTGCATAAAGTCACGTGGCAAATGATGAAGGAGTTGTTTTTGAGAGTCAAGAGTAGTAACAGGTGTTGATTCACGTGAACGTTCACGAGTGAACTCAGAGCAGCTTCCTAAGGAAAAGCAACACCCGTGGGTCCGTCTCTTAACTCTGCTCTTGTTTGTTCCTCCGCAGAGCTACAGCGAACCCGTTGACGTGAAGACATCTCAGCCTCCGCAGCTGATCAATTCAAAGCCGCCGTCAGTGTTCCCTGGGCCCAGCCAGGCCCACTCAGCTCTGTACCTAAGTTCTCACTATCACCAACAACCAGGAATGAACCCTCACCTAACCACCATGCATCCCAGTCTCCCTAGGAGCATAGCCCCCAAGGCCAATAACCAAATGCCAGTGACTGTCTCTATAGCAAACATGGCCGTGTCCCCCGCTCCTCCCCTCCAGATCAGCCCCCCTCTTCACCAGCATCTCAACATGCAGCAGCCCCTTGGCACCCAGCTCCCCATGCAGGTCCAGCCCGCCTTACACTCCCCCACCATGCAGCAGGTACGTGCCATGCCGCGCCGCGCACTGGACTCCCCTTCGGAGGGGCTGGGGGGGGGGGGGGGGGGGGGCGGGGTTTGTCAGTTCTTCCGTTTAAGTGGAGAGAGAATGGAAGATCTTCAACAAATATCTGCTTCCCGAAAGGTAATTCACGGGGTGAGTTGGGCAGAGCCTCCTACAATCACAGTAGCTTCTGCTTTTCATAATCCCGGACTTCTTTCCCGTGGTATACCCGTTTTGCTTCATGTCTCTAATCACCCTTCCTGTTTTCTGCCTCTTGAGTAAAGTACATTTGTTGTTTTCAGATGCCACTACTGCTAAAGATCTCTTTGGGGTTGAGAAGCCTACCTTTAAAATATATGCGCATATTGTTTGGAAATGAGAAAGTCTTGATGATACGCCCGTTGGGTCCAATAAATGCTGCAAGATGAAATCAGGCCCACTGTTTCTAGTCAGAAATATCAAATTTGGTACACCCTTGAGAGTCCTAAGAAATGAAAATATTAACCAGAGTTATAACCAGTTATAACCAGTTATTAACCAGTTTATTTAAAAATGGATATCTGGCTTCTACATAGATTAGAAAACACAGGAGGTTTGGAAGCCTCCCTGCCCACCCCCCAGTTACGGAAACCATTTGTGTGCAGTCTTATCTTAACTTTTCTTTGAAATCAAGTTTTCCTTTTGGATTTTGGTGTTATTTTAAAATTTGGGAATAAGGAGCAAATGATGTAAACTGAACGTAAAGCATTTAAAAATCCTAAAAACTTATTTTAACAAAATAGATCAAGGTAAAGCCTATAAAACATATCAAAGTAATCTCTCACTTTTATAATCCAATGACTCTGTTGTCCCAGAGCTGTAATTAAATGTGCAAGCATAGTCTTCCTGTGGGCGCGATATCTAGCCCGCTGTGGACTTCGAGCCTACAGTTTGCCACAGTGGGGTGCAGAGGAGGCAGAAAGAGCAGTCAAATATAGTAAATTCATTTTTAGTGTTGTCATTATAGACAGGGTTTCCAAGAGGTGACAGTGACCAACCTTAATACATCACCTACCTCATCTTTAATTTCAGAAAATTTACAGCGCAGGTCCTGACGTCGCCTTCATCTCACAGGTGAGGCGACTCAAGCTCAGCAGAGTTGAGTAACATGCCCGTAAGGTCAGAGCTGGAATTCAAACCCAACTCTGTTCAGCAATCAGAGCCTGGATTCTTTTTTTTTTTTTTTTTTAATTTATTTTTGACCGTGTTGGGTCTTTGTTGCTGCGCGCGGGCTTTCTCTAGCTGCGGCGAGCGGGGGCTACTCTTCGTTGCGGTGCGCGGGCTTCTCACTGTGGTGGCTTCTCTTGTTGCGGAGCTCGGGCTCTAGGCACGCTGGCTTCGGTAGTTGTGGCTCGCAGGCTCTAGAGCACAGGCTCAGTAGTTGTGGCGCGTGGGCTTAGTTGCTCCGCGGCATGTGGGATCTTCCCGGACCAGGGCTGGAACCCGTGTCCCATGCACTGGCAGGCGGATTCCCAACCACTGTACCACCAAGGAAGCCCAGATCCTGGATTCTTAAACGCTAGGCCTGCTGCCTCTCACTCTTAATCATTCTTGTAAATTCTTAACAGTTTCTTCTAAGAATTGGGAGGGTCTTTACATCCTAGTTAGTTCTGAAATTGAATGGTTGTGGAGAGCAAAGGACTCATCTCTTTACTGAAGTCTTCCTTTGGTCCCTAAGCCAAGGATATTGATAAAGCTCAGACAACTGACTTACCTGTCAACAGACTGGCTGTCGACCCACTGGGGAAAAGCCAACCTCCATCCACCATCTTGCCTTGTCTACAGCGGGGTTTGTGACCAGCAATTGATATTCAAAGGGTCCAATTGCCATTCTTTCCATCAGACGTTACTCTCAATAAGAGGGACACTCTTTGGGTGTCCTCGCATTTTAATGAACCAATAGTGTTTGAGTGAAGAGCTAAGACCTCGAGGGACTCGACCTTCAGTCACGTGTTTTGAGTCCTGCCTAGGTGTGCTGCCTGGCTGAGGGCCCGTGTTTTGCTCACAGTGCTGTAGTGAGGGGTGTTTCTCCTCAGAGGAAAGAATACAGAGGTCACGGCCCCCTCCCCAAGCTGAGGGCCAGAGCTCTGTGCAGAGAGAGCACCTTTCTACTAATTTATCCACTCAGAGACAGTTCATTTTCCATTTATACTCATACCTTAGATGAGCTGGCTGTGACCAACATTTCAGAATTGCATAAGGCCACACGTGGAAACTTAAGAGATGTGACTTTCCGTATAGCATCTTAACTGAATAGGAAAAAATAGAACAGATTACGTTGGACAAGTTACTCATCAATCTTTAAGTCAGTTCTATTCGTGTATCTCAGAAAGTGTTCTTATTGAGACGGTAGGACCTGATTTCAATTTACATTAATAATAGAGACAAAATGGCATGAACCCAAAATGGAGAGGCAGTACAGCTGCAGAGACCGCAGTGACTGAACTCACTTTTAACGATGCCTTGATCATTGTAGATAGTCAATAAAATAATTGTTGAAGGGACAAATGAACAAATGAGTGAATAAAAAATTAGTAGTAAAAGTTTAAATATTGGAAGAAATTACAGGCTAGTTTGTAGAATCTCAAATGAGTGAGTGAGTTGTGCACGCATGGAGCTCCCATCAGAGTTGGGGCGGGGGGGGGTGGCAGGTAGTAATAAGATAAACAGATAAATAACTAGGATCCCATGGAAAAAAATAAAACAGGGGGGCAGACTGCAGGGTGTGTGGAGGAACGGCAGGTCTTTTGCTGGGATGGATAAAGAAGGCCCCTCTCAAGAGCAGGTGGATGAGAAGAGGAAGCAGCCTTTAAGAATCAGAAGGTGCGGGCTTCCCTGGCGGTGCAGTGGTTGAGAGTCCGCCTTGCGATGCAGGGGGCGCGGATTCGTGAACCGGTCCGGGAAGATCCCACATGCCACGGAGCGGCTGGGCCCGTGAGCCATGGCCGCTGAGCCTGCGCGTTCGGAGCCTGTGCTCCACAACGGGAGAGGCCACAACCGCGACAGGCCCGCGTACCGCTAAAAAAAAAAAAAAAAAAAAAAAAAAAGAATCAGAAGGTGGGAAGGGTAGATACCAGCAGAGAGCAGTAGCACGGAAAAGGGGCTCCTGGCTGGAGGACCTAACTGGGAGGGGCGTGGCTTGTGCAGATGTGGAAGGGGAGCCTGGCGAGGAAGGGCGAGTGTTGGGCAACGAGGTTAGATTCATGGGTAGGTCACTGGAGTAGGATCCTGCAGGTTAAGGGGGCTGGAAGCCCCAACGAGTTGTCAACCCTACAATCAGGATCAGAGAGTCCGTCACCGCTCCATGTCACTCAGCTTATTTCACTCACAGTGGCCTGTGGGGCCAGTGTTCATGTCATCCAAGTGGGTCTTTAGCCTGTGGTTGTAGAGCTAATGAATGGGATTTGACCTGTCTGGTCCATCATCTTCATCCTGACAATGTTTGCTTCCTGGGCACGGGGGCCATGTTCCCATTTTCAAACACCAAACAAAGAAAAAGAGAGAAGGAGAAAGTTAATGGCTCCTGTATTTTTAAAGTAAAGTTTCATATTTCAGTATTACTTTAGTTATTTTATTATCCTTTTGAAAATGAATGTATCCTACAAAAATGATTGTGTAGTCCACTAGGAGTAATAGTTTGTTGTTTGTTTTTTTTTTCCTGGAATAATATTTTATACAGTAAGCCCATAGACCTGGGGTTTTTTGGGTCCAATTTTCTTCCTTTTTTTGTTCACTATATTGTCGAATGAGGTTAAGAGAAAAAAAAAATCATTAATATCTGTCAACTTCCTTTATAACCTTAAGAAAAAAATCTTTGTATGGTATCACACAGACAGATTTTCAATTTCCTTGTGTAATAAACAGCTGCTTTAGGATGTGGGTATAATTTAAAGGTTTAAAAAAATCACATTGAGATTGATGAATAAATCAGTTGTGAAGACAAAAACATTGATGCCTGTTGAAAATACCTCTCCAGACAGGCAGGAAATGAAATTAGTTCCCAGTAAAGTGTGGATATGAAGATCACTGTTTGGTATTGCTGCAGGCTTTTTTAGGACTTGCTGTGGTGGCACAACAAAACTGCTAGGGCTACAGAAATCTAATTAAAGAGCAAATGTCCCTTCTGACATCAAATTAATCTTTATCATGTTTCCTATTTTTATTTCAATCTGGCACCAGAAAATGAAATTTAAAATTCCAGGCATGCTACAAAACAGTTGGTGATTTTTCTCTTGAGCATTAAAATGCAAAATATTCAGCCTTGTTTAATTAGACTGCTAAGCAAACAGTTTTTCAAAAATTTATATCATCATTGTTGTTTCATATTTTCATCAGTAATAAAAACGTCCATAGTTCTGGGTTTGACCTCAACATCTCTTAATACAGTCTTCAGAAGAATGTTTCATTTTCTAAATTGAAAGCAAGTAAAATAATGGTCTTCAGGCTTTGCTTGTATTTTTCTTGGTCCTCGGTTGTTTTAATACTAGTGATCTTAAATTTAGGCACTGAAGTTAGCTGAATTTTAAATCTTTGAGCTTTGTAGATAATGCATAATTTTGGTTTTGTAAACTGAAGTTACCCATTTAATCTTAAAGTGATCACTTAAAAATTAATGTTCTCCTGCTATTCTCTCTCCCAAGCTTGAGGGACCATATTCACTGAATAGGAAGAAAAGACAATGGTCATTTCCGTTTTTTGATTGTGTGGTGTTGGGTGGAAGCAGGTTGATTTATTTTTATTTATTTTTTGCTTTCTCATATGTTTCCATACCTTCAACGCGAGATATTTTCAACTACTCTGTTTTTGAGACTTACTTACTTTTAGGTTACGTTTTGTTGATTGTGCAAAAATACAATGTGGAGAACTTTACATTAAAAAGATAGGAAAGCCTTGGTATTTACACAGTTATATTCCCCAGGCCTTTCCAAGATGAGCATCAAATAGTCAATGTTAAAACTTATTTATTGGAACACATGATTTATTGACCCACTACTGTGGGTTTGACCCTGAGAATATCCAGTAAGCAACACAAAACACTCTCTGGTCACTGGGCAGCCCTGATGACGGGGCTGAAATAAGAGTCAGCGCGAGGCTCTTCTCTCTGTGGACTTTTTCCTGCTGTCTGCCTAGCATCACACAGCATCACATGAGACACTCGGGCAAGAGGTCCAGAAAGCCGGACAGTAAGCCCCATAAAGACATTATGGGACCATAATGAAACGAATACAGTTTGCCGAAGCCAGTGAAACTCCTTGTGTCACAGAGGTACAGGATGGTCTGGAGAAAGAGAGGATGCCAGCCTGGAAAGGCCTGGAGAACCAAATATCCAGTTATATACCTCTCACTTCTCACCCCCCTCTTCTGGAAAATGTTTATGGCTGGAGCTGCAGGTGGTGTCTGCATAAACAAACTTACCTCCCACAAGCCAGTTGTTAGTTTAGGAAACATTCTATTCCTTCTAGTCTGTGTGAGGTCAAATAGCCCAGCTGGCTGAATACTCTACTTTTCAATGATTTGTCTTTCATGAGCAGCTTTGGTGGGAGTTTGCGTGGACATTGGCTTGAAGTCTTTAATCACGTGAATGGAAAATAAATTAATATCTTAAAGCCAATATTGAGAATTGAGGACATTTGATAATAGATGTCCTTGAGTCTTTACCCAAGGTACCCTCAAATGAGTGAAAGTCTAAGGAAATAGCCTTAGTTGAAAATCAATTTTCTGATCATTCTGCTGAATTTTTTAAAAAAGGTAAAAATCTCAACAATATTATGCCTTCAAAAGAAGCTCTCTGCAAGTACAGCCACAAGATTAATTAAGTTGCTTTTTTGGTCATTTCCAGTAAAGCTTGCTTATGCTGCTCTTGAATTCACCAGATAAGCTAAAAATAAATCTTAGCATATAATGCTTTTTGTTTACCAGATATAGCTGTCTACTTCAGAGATTCTGTCCTTGAATTTTTAATAGCTCTGCAAGGATTAAAAGTCAACACTTCACCATACCAGTGTATTAAAAGAACCTTCCTGAAGTCTGATTATTATTTAGTTAATAGACTTTTCAATTAAAAAATATTTGCTCTGTCTTATACTCTTCCTTCTCTGTGTTTTCCACTGGCAAGTTGTTTTGAATCTCCTTCCCTATATTAGTCCAACAACTGTTAAAAAGCTTTGGCTGAAATTTTTAGCTGAAAAAAAGAAGTACAAATAAAAGAAGAAGCAGATGGTCCCTTTGTGACTGACTGAAGAAAAAGGGTTTTGAGAACAATATGTGAATAGGTGTAGTCTAATAAAACACTCAGCCACCTGCTGCCTGGATCCTTCAAAAAAGATTCTGTTGCATATTCTGGGGATTAACTATTAATGTATCCTTAGGTTTGATAGAAAACATAAACTCTGAGGGGTTTAGGGCCTTTTCCCTTTGTTTTGATTGAGTTGGCTTTTCTAAATTTTAAATTGCTTCTAAATTCAATTTATCTGCTCAAGAGTATAATTCAAGGTTTTCTAACACATGGTTAAATGAAGGAAAGGTAAAAAGGTTGGGTGGTGGGCACTTCCTTTCCATCTTTGTTTTAAGTTTTCTGCATCCTCAGGATAAGCTTTTGCCCTTTCAGGGACACTAGCAAGAAGGCAGTAGTGTTTGCAAACAATGGATAAATACTTAGGTGCTTTTCTTCTTAAAAAGGCACTTTGATCCTTATTTGTGGACTTGCTTTCCCTTTCAGGGATTTAATCTTCCCGACTATCAGACTATAATCAATCCTACGTCTACAGCTGCACAAGTGGTCACCCAGGCCATGGAATATGTGCGCTCTGGGTGCAGAAATCCTCCCGCCCAGCCCGTGGACTGGAATGACTACTGCAGTAGTGGGTAAGTGGCCAGCCATCGCCACCTGGTGGCACACAGCTCTCATAGCAGGCATGTTGTGCCCTGCTCTCTGGTCGTTGGAAAGATCCGTCATTTCTTCCTGCTTTACAAAAGATAATCTAGAACGGTTCCGTGTTCGTGAAAGCAGAAATTTTTAAGCATCCTTCCAACCATTCCAAGAATAAATGCCTTTAGATCCTGTTGGCTTTTACTGTGCACTTTCCCAGTGCCCAACTCCACCCCTCAAGCTAGAGCAGATAGACACGTCCCCCTTGGTCACCTGTAGCAAGGCTGTCCTGTTAACAAGGCATCATCTGTCTGTTTTCTCTTCGCACAGGGGCATGCAGAGGGACAAAGCACTGTACCTTACCTGAAAATCCGAACACCTCTTCTTTCCACTGAGGCATTCAGGGAAGTCTTTTCACCGTGGATTGCTTTGTATAGTCAAGGCAGTTCTCCATTTTATTAGAAAAATACAAGTTGCTAAGCACTTAGGACCATTTGAGCTTGTGGGTCACCCACTCTGGAAGAAATAGTCATGCTTCTTTATTATTTTTTTAATCCTTTATGGACATTGTTTTTCTTCTTCCCTGAAGGAAATTTGGACCATTCAGATTTTATGTTGGTTTTTTGCTGTGAAGTGCTGCGCTATAGTAACTGCCTTAGCAACTATAGATGTCTTGGATAAAAGTCCTGGATTTTCCATTGGTTTTCATAATGGGTGTTTATATGAAACTACTAAAGACTTTTTAAATGGCTTGATGTAGCAGTCATAGCAAGTTTGTAAATAGCATCTATGTCACACTCTCCTAGAGTATAAAATGTGAATGTTTTTGTAGCTAAATTGTGATTTGAAACTGGCTCATTCCAGTTTATTGATTTCACAATAGGGGTTAAATTGGCAAACATTCATATTTTTACTTCATTTTTAAAACAACTGACTAATAGTTCTATATTTTCAAAGTATTTGAAAAAAAAACCGTATTCCCAAACGATTTTCATTTAAAAACAAATTGGCTTTGTCTCATTGATCAGACAAAAAGAAACTAGTGTGAAGGGAAGTGCAAACACGTTTATTTTGTACTGCAGAAAAATTGCTTTTTTGTATCACTTTTTGTGTAATGGTTAGTAAATGTCATTTAAGTCCTTTTATGTATAAAACTGCCAAATGCTTACCTGTTATTTTATTAGATGCAGAAACAGATTGGAAACAGCTAAATTATAACCTTTACATACGGCTCTGTATCATTTCTTCATACTGTGTCTGTATTTAATCTTTTTTTATGGAAACTCTTGCGCCTATTTATGAAATAATAAATATAGGTGTTTGTAAGTAAATTTGTTAGTATTTGAAAGAGGTTTCTTTGATGTTTTAACTTTTGCTGGCAAAAAAAAAAAAAATTCACGCTTGGTGTGAATACTTTAGTTTTTACAGTGAATAAAGCCAAATCTACTTTTCATTTTAGAAGGAAACTAAAGTAACCAGCCCTTATTTCTATATTTCTTTGGTTGACACAAACGAAAAGCTATGATATTTAAGAACTTTCTTCATAAAATAGAACAGAGAATTGCCCTAAAAGTCACATAGGCTCCAAGACTAAACAGATGGGTCTCTATCTGAAAGAAAAAGATGGCTTCTTGGTTCTCAGCTGGTTTTAGTCCATCTGTAAACTCCCTCCCCTCCCCACAAAAAAGAATTAAAGTCAAATCAATCAAATTCTGCAAGCTGCATGCTTTTCACAAAATCCAGAAAACATTTAGAAATTAAACCAGGGCGGGGAGGAATGAAAGGGGAAACATACTGTCAAGAATAGATCTAAAAATGAAAGGTGAGTAACCAGACAGGAAAAAGGAAAGGGGAAGCAGTCCCAATTTGAAAACCGTTGACAGAAATTGAGGTTCTTGCTGTCATTTGTGCCTCTACAAGCTACTGTCTTTTCAGAATTCCTGGGTCTTCCAGGAGAATTCTGAGGGTACTGGAGATCTGCTAAAGAACAAAAAGCACTGAGAATCTGGCTGAAAGTTTGCATAGCTTTTACATCAAAAAGAGCAAATTACACCCTTACAGAGGGTTTCTATCAAGAAAGCTAGTCTGGTTGGAAATCAAGAGAATGGCTGATGTCTTTTTCGTGGAATGTGTGAAATAAACTTAGCAATTTAACTAAATACAAATATATGCATTGTGTAATCCAGTCAGAATTAAAAAGACAAAAGGTTTGCTTGCTTTGGAATGATTTTAGGCATTGTACAACCTTGAATCAGCTGAGCATGTAATAACAAATACATAATGCAGATCCAATGTGATTATTAAAATGACTGTAGCTGAGAGCTCTAATTTTCCTGTCTTGAAACTGTATAAGAACTCATGTGATTAAGTTCACAGTTTATTGTTTGTCTGTTTAGTATTTTAGAAATATACCCGCGCTACTAATTACTTAATGTCTTTTATTTATTATATTATGATAAAGTAACATTTGCCCTTGTATTAAGTCTAAACTGAGAAGGTAATTACCGGAGTGAGAACAACCAGCTTTGACTTTGACAGGTGGGTTGTACAGGAAAGTACAGTGTTGTTTACAGTTTTTCTAGAGCAGGTGTGCAACCAGCGTAGAGAGAGTATTGAAACTCGATACCAAAAACAGTAAAAAATAAATAAATAAAAGAACACATCATAAACAAAAATTCTGACCATGCATGACCATATTCTATTTGGATATCCATCAGTCTCTGAAAGACAGACCCAGCCAGTTGAGGGATCCCAAATAAATTTCATGGCAGAAGCAATCAGGCACAGAAAGGATGAACAGCTGCCCCAGCCACAGGCGTTCCTTCCTGAAACACTGAGCACGCCCTCTGTCAGGTGTTGCCTGAGAAATCCTCTACTTTTAAGGAAACCAGAATCCAGCCTGAGCCCAGGAGCTACTAGCTTGTAACCGTAAGGACCAGTGATGGTGTCCACCGAGTTCCCTGCTATGTAACCTTCCACAGGATCCCGGGACCTCCAGTAAAAGCATTCTGAGAGACTCAACAATAATGCTGATCATTGAATATCTTTTCCAACACACCAAAGTCAAAATTATCTCATTAGAAAAGAAAAAAGACAAAAAGGTGTGACAGCGGCTAGGAGAGGTTGAGTTGTCTCTCTAACATCCACAAGAAAGAATAATCTAAAATCCCAATTCCCATTCTAATGTGGATGAGTTGACAATGGAAAAACAGTCAAATAATGACTTTCAGCTAGGCAAATTATCGAACAGAGCTAAGGATGAAAGCTGGTCTCTGTGATTGTTTTTATCTTGTTGCCTTAAAGGAAAGGAGTCCCTTCTGACTGAGGCATCAGTAGTCCATCAACGGTCATGACAACAAAGAACTGTGTCCTGACTCAGATTCATTGCTAAGAAATTTTTTTAATTTATGAATTCAAAATTTAAAATAGGCACACCAACAATCCATTTACCTTTCCTGTGGACCTTTTGCCTTTTGCAAAAGAGTTGCCACACATGTTTGGAAGGTAATTAGATTTAGCCATATGAAATTGCCTATATACAACCCCTTTACCTACAAAAATGGCAATTTCATACGGTTCCACCCAATATGGTTGAGAACTAGAGACGATGGGATTTTGGATACAACGTCAGTATGATTTCAGATGGAGTTAGAAGTTCTTTACAAAGTCCGAGGAGAAAAGACTCAAAGAAGTAATGTTGTGCTTGTTTACAAGATGCCCCACTTCCAGTCAGTCCCAGACAGCTGCGTTCAACCAAACAAAGAATATTTCAAATTACCAGATTCCAGGAAACCCCAAAAAACGTCCTATTTCTTTGGTATATTAAAAAAATTAATGTGGAAATTTGTAATGATTATCTGCTGGAACATGAAAGTTTTTGTTACACACAGATGTTCTCTTAATGCTTATTTGTTGAAAGGGGATTTGATCTGCATTTTCTTATTCCACTCGTAACTCTCATTTTAAGGTAACTACAGAAACACAGAGAAATTCACCTGTTTTGCTGATGGCTGAACATTGAAATAATGGCAAGGCAAGGTACAGAATTCACATCATAAGTTTAATCCCCAAACATTTATTACCCTGAGTCACCTAATGGATGAAACCGTGTGAGTCACCCAACAGTACAAATCTGTTTCCCTAAGGTAGAATAACTTCTTTACCTCCAAAGCAACTTGGAATGTCATAGCGCATAGTAGGTGCACAATAAATACAACGATATGTAGAAAAGTCAGTGGCACATCACAAATTATCCTCATCGCATAGCAGTTCTATGGTGTTTCCTTGATCATTTAAAAACTCTCTAAATGTAGAAGGGAATTAAATATTACTGACAAGTACTGGGAGGTGAAGAAGAATGGAAATTTTCCATTAAAATATTTTTTGTAACCTAAGGTTACAAGAAGATTGAAAGAAGGAATTTTAGAATGAGTTATGCTGTATTCTTTGGGTCTACATAATCAAACAAGAGTTTCTAGTTACAAACAAAATAAAAGATGGAATATACACTAGTCACATCGAGAAAATGAGAAGCCAAGGAGAAAAAAAGGTGTCAGACAAGTAGGAGTGTTGAGCGCAGGAGAGAAATTTCAGGAGCCAAGTTTATAGAATGCTAAATTAAAACACTGATGAACGGGATGTTGGGTTGTTTTTCTAATTACCAAGTGCAAGTATGACTTCTTGTAACAAATAGAAGACCCTATATCCTGGACTCTATTTAAATTACACCAGGATGAGAAGAAGTGGTCCTTTTTTAAACTTTTTTAAAATTTTTTAATTGGAGTAGAGTTGATTTACAATGTTGTGTTAGTTTCCACTGTACAGCAAAGTGAATCAGTGATACATATACTGTATCCACTCTTTTTTAGATTCTTTTCCCATATAGGCCACTACAGAGTATTGAGTAGAGTTCCCTGTGCTATATAGTAGGTCCTTATTAGTTATCTATTTTATAGAGAGTAGTGTGTCTATGTCAACACTAATTTCCCAATTTATCCCCCCCGCCCCCGATTTCCCCCCTGTAACCGTCCTTTTTTTTAAAAGATGCTCAAAGGAGATTTCCCTAGGTCTGTTTTGGACTAGGTCCCAGCATGGAAGAGCCTTCCCTCACAGAGAAGTTCCCGAGTCTTCACACAAGACTATTGCTTGTGCAAAGAGCGTGGGAGCTGCCTGACATCACAGTTCCGAAGGAGGGAGGCTGGGAGCTGCGGGAGGGAGGGGTCACTTCTAACGCAAGATAGACACAATGCAACACGTGTGTCTACAGCGACATGAGACTGTTTTCTCTTTTCTTACGCAGCCAGCGTCTTGTCCTTTGTATCCAGACCCAGATTACATTGTAGGAGGTAGGAGGTGAAGACGAAGTGCTTGCTCTGGACCTGGAGACCCCTGAGGACAGAGACGTGTAATTTGTCAGCACTGGTCAGACTTGTGCCTCATTATCTGAACCCACCAGCGCGCATCCTCAACTGTCGTCATTTCACATTTTATTAACAGCTTGCCAGCAAAGACATTTGAAAGTGAAATTTCATTCACTCTGACATGAGGCCAGAAAAAAAAAAAAATAGTGACTGGAAATGAAATGGAAAGACATAATTCTACATACAAAAAGAAAAAAAAAAATCATTCTAAAGAGAGGCTAAACCAAACTACAGTATTTTTAAAAATCATTCTAAAGAGAGACTAAACCAAACTACAGTATTTTAAAGGCTGCAGCGTCCCTGTTTGACAATTGTGTGTTTACAATAAGCCTAAGCATAATTGCTCTGATGGGCTGTCAGGGAAAAGATTAATTTGGCAAAGATTAGTATTGACTTGCTGTTTATTAAAGCTTTTAAACAGCTGTATCTGGCAGCATTCCTGTAAGTGCCTGTCATATCTGAAAATCAGCCTCACACCCTGGTGCTCGCCAGCTGTTACTAAACAATCTTTTACCACTTTGAATGTCTTTCTCCAGGCCAAAAAGCAAGAGCAAACTATTGCCAAATGAGCCTTTTTCTCCTCCTGTCACTTTTTTTTTTTAAGGTGGGAGTGGGGAGCTTCTGAATGCTGAAATGTCAGCTCGTGGCCGATGGCTTAGCTGATAAGAGGTGCGGAAGTCAGTAGGTGGTTTGGGTGCTAGATGAATGCATTCCCCACATAGAGAGTGCCGGTGCTGTGAACTCACCTCGCACAGACAAAAAACCACAGTGTGCAACTGTTGGAAGGCAAAAAAGGTTTTCAAGACAGTTAGAAATTGGCGATCAAAGGCTTAGCACCATCAGATTTCCAAAACTAATGTTTTGTTTCCTCAGACTGGCACATGCCCTATCAGCCACAGGCTGGGCA